TCTATCTCTATTCTCCCACTCTGCAGAATCTGTTAGTTCAATCTCTAACGTTCTGCTCTCTCTGCTTTTTCTCATAGTAGCTTCATCTGGTCTGTTCCTGTTTGGCTGTGACTCCATCCTGGAGAGAAATATCAGCTGTGCTGCTGCCATCAACACCTTTGTTTCTAGATGTTGGAGCTTGGCCTGTTTTCCAGTGTAGTCCTGTTTCTCTGACTGTGACTAACTGGATGTGCTCTCTTCGTCCTCTGACATGGGAGCTGGCTCGGAGCTCGTCTGCCTGGCTGTGTGTTTCCTGGACGGGGCCGCCTGTGGAGCTGGTTGACAGTTGCCTTTTGTATCTATGCTTCTTTTTCTATCTCTGGTTCTGCCTCCTTGAACCCCAGTCGGCCTCTGCAGATAGCCGCTTACACTGCGCCTGGTTCTCCTGGAGGTTCCTTCCTTTCCTCTCCACTGTCGCTACAAGCATGCTTAGTTTGAGGGATTGCATTAGAGCCAATGAGTCGATGCAATCAACTGGTTTTGGTTAGATAGAAAACTCTGAATCAGTTTGAGTCTATGATCTGCTTGACTTGTAAAGTGCCTGGAGATGACGTATTATGAATTTGCACCATATAAATAAACTCAATTGAATTGAATTAATACATTTATAATAAATTACTACAGATCAGTGCGCATTGATGTTAGATAACAGCATTATAAAAGAAGTAACACAGTGGCACAGTCAGCCAGACACTTATAGACACTGTAATTAACGATACAAATAAAATGAGGAGGCACCCTATAAAATGATGCATCTGTGAGAACAGCTTTTTCATACTTCATCTTTTCCTGCTGACAGATGCACTTCTCTTGTGATGCCATCTCCATCTGCTTTGCAGCTGTAGCGCAAATTAGTTTTTTCGTTAAAACCTCTAAATCCAGTTGTGTTAAATAAGCACTTCCTGTTTTCATGGTAATTTGCGAATCTGTACTCCAGGTATAATGGCTTTTCATACTTGTTATGCACATACTCGGCTCTTAGTGGACCTACTCAGAGTTGATTAAACTAACTCACAGCAGCTGTTGTCAAAGTGAAAACTCAGAGTTTCCAGCCTTAGGCGAGATCCATTTAGAGTTGAGGATTTAAACTGAGTTTGTTAAACCTGCTTTGTGAAAGAGGACCCAGTTCTATGCAAAGTTGATGACACCCCTGGACAAAAGTGTGCTGAGTGTTAGTATTTTTTTGCATGTGCATCAGAGTCACAGTTAACACTGGAGTCAGATGCAGGCGACATCTTAAAAGAAGTGTAAAAAACTTTGCCAAAGAAAATCAGATTTCAGGTAAAAATTGGAGCATTGCAGTGGGAAGAAGTGGGACAGGAGACCCCTTACAGAGGGGATCATTTCCATTAATTACAAACAGGTGAAAAAGAATCAGAGCACAAACAAAAACTTTTTATTTTCATATATATCATTAAAAATGATAAGGTAATAATTTAACATTAACTTCTTTTACCTTGCCTATTCTTTATAATCGTATTTTTTTGTAAGTTTCCAGCTTTAAAGTGACAAGTTCTATAAAGACTAATATTTTTTTTCTCCTTCTTGAAAGCAACGTGGAAAATACTTCCACAAAACAGATTATAAAACATGCATCAGGTGCGCGTTGAAACTTGTTTCCAATTAAACTTCAGATTAAAATAAAAAAGTATTGCATGTCCTCTTTTCGTTGTCTTTCAAGTCATGAGGAGGCTTGAAAATACAAGAAAGTTTTTATCTTGAGTAAATACAGTTGCTGTTCTTGAAGTATATTAACCTGCCACTTTATAATGTAGCCCTAGGTATTAGTCTTAAACACAAATAGTAAATCAGCCCGTCACATGGCAACAATTCAACGCCTTTGGGCAGGCATGTCCAGAGCGTGTCCTCGAAGGCCGCCCTCCAGGGTCCACAGAAGGGGTGATGTGTGTACGTCTAAATGTGTTGGTTAGAAAGCGAACTGCATTTTGCACAAGTTGAAGGCATGATATACATGTCTGATACAGACAAACATAAAGATTATTACAATAGTCCAATCTTGAGCTAATAAAAGCAGGAAAGGCCTTTTATAGGTCATGCCAGGTAAAAAAAAAATGCTTAACCCTAACCAGCAGGCGAAGCTTGAAGAAGCAAATTTTTCAGAACATGACTCATTTGCTGATCAAATTTCATGCTGCGTTCAAAAGTAACCCCAAGCTTTTGACAGGCGATTTGGTGTAAGATGCCAAAGCTCCCAAACTCAGAGCTTTAAGTAGAACATTGCATGCTTGGAAGCTAACCAAAACATGTGTTAACTCACTAGAGAAAGGCTCATGGATCTTGATTCAAACTGTGAAATGCAGACAGAAGAGATTCCAATTTTACATAAAAAGCACAAAAAAAAACCTGCCTTCCAGCACAGGCAAAAAATGTGCACGTGCTTTCACTCTCAGCTATTACACCCACTATAACATTCTTTGCAGAGTAGCTCAATAATTACTGACACAGGGTTCCCCCGGGTCCTTAAAAAGTCTTAAAAGGCATTGAATACTTCAAAATAAAACTAAGGCTTTAATCGGTATTAAAATGTCTTAAATCAGTCTTTCGTAGGTCCTAATTTTTAAAACATCATAAATAGGATTATTTTTATTACGATTTATTTTTGTAATCTAAATAAAACATTAAAATTGGCCTTTTTTTTATTTGAAAAAATAATGGCTCGTCATTATTGGTTCCGTCCCGATAGCGGAACCAATAAAAGCGTTGTTGCGGCCGGGACATTTGGGAGATGCACCATTAACTTTTT